AACTGATTGGAAGGCATTCAGAGACTACCTAAACGAAAACCTCGACATGAAAGTGCCACTTAAAACGGAAGATGACATAGAGGATTACGCAATGACATTAACAAACTTAATACAAATAGCAGCATGGAAAAGCACACCAGCTACCACATTAAAACATGGTAGTAAGAATATACCCAGGGATATAAAATATAAAATCCTGGAAAAAAGACGACTTAGAAGGGTGTGGCATTGTAGTCGACATAGCCAAGACAAAAGAGCGTTTAATAAAGCAGCTGCAGACCTAAAATTATACCTTAAAAAGATTGAGGAAGAGACCCTACAGAATAAATTGGCTAACCTGAATCCCCAAGCTAAAAACGAATACTCACTCTGGAAAATGGTTAAAAGTAGCAAAATGGCTCCACAGGTTTCACAACACCCCATCAAAACTAGGGATAATACTTGGGCAAGAACTGACAAACAACGTGCTGAAGCATTCGGACAGTTCCTAAATGAGGTCTTTACTCCAAATAGCGGTGATGAAGAAGCCGAAAAAGAGATACTTGACTATCTTAGGGCTGACTCCCAATTATCTCTTCCAATTAAAAGCTGCTCTCCACGAGAAGTCCAAAGAGAAATAAAAAACTTGGAACTAAATAAAGCCCCTGGCTTCTGCCTGATTACAGCTGAAGTTCTCCAACAGCTTCCTAAAAAAGGTATAGTCGGTATAACGCAACTCTTCAATAGTATAATTAGGATTGGACATGTGCCAAGGCTATGGAAAGTTTCAGAGATAGTCATGATTCCCAAGCCTGGCAAACCTCCACACCTTGTGTCTTCGTACAGACCAATAAGCTTACTTCCAACCTTATCGAAATTATTTGAGAAGATAATTTTACGAAGGTTAACACAGGTATTAAATGAAAAAGAAATTATCCCTCAACATCAGTTTGGATTCAGAGTTGGCCATTCAACAATTGAACAAGTCAATAGAGTTGTCAACAAAATAAGAGAAGCTCTAGAGAAGAAGCAATACTGCTCTGCTATTTTTCTTGACGTACAACAGGCATTTGACAAGGTTTGGCACCCGGGACTGCTATTCAAACTGAAGAAAAACCTTCCACATAACTTTTACATACTTTTAAAATCTTATTAAAAGGACAGATTGTTTATAGTCAAAATCAATGACACCTACTCTACCTTTCAAGATATAAAAGCCGGAGTACCGCAGGATTCCACCTTGGGTCCCATTCTGTATCTTATGTACACTGCAGACATACCAACATCGGATAATATATTATCTGCTACGTTTGCCGATGACACTGCCGCACTTTGCAACAATGAAAATCCGAACATTGCGTCCATGGTTTTGCAGAGTCACCTGAATAAGGTACATGAATGGATGGAAAAGTGGCGCATTAAAGTGAGTTCCAGCAAATCAGTACATGTCACCTTTACCCTGAGAAAAGACAACTGCCCACCGATTAAACTTGGAGATGACATTTTACCCCATCAAGACTCGGCAAAATATTTGGGCATACATCTTGATAGGAAGCAAACGTGGAAAACACACATCCAAAAAAAACGCGATCAATTGAATGCACGGCTCAGAAACCTGAACTGGCTGACAGGCAGAGGATCATATGTAACCATGGAAAACAAGATACTCATTTATAAAACCATAATAAAGCCAATCTGGACATACGGCATCGAGTTATGGGGATCAGCAAAGAATTCCAACATAGAGATTTTGCAACGGTTTCAGAATAAAGCACTCAAAACCATAACTGCTGCACCTCTATTCATTAGAACAACAGAATTGCATGAGTACACAGGAATGAGAACAATCAGAGAAGAAATAGAGCACAGAACAAGAGTATACAGAGATCGTATAGGGGCGCATACCAATATCCTTGCAACAGCACTACGAGACCCATTGCAATGCAGAAGGCTTAAGAGACTCCATGCATGGGATCTTATTCACCGATGAGACGGTTTCCTCACTGGAGGTATAGTTCTCTCCCGTCAACAGTCCCACAACCAATTTGTTAAAGGCTTTGTAAGCCGATTGCAGGATAAAAATTAAAAAAAAAAAAAAAAAAAATAAACCCTTCACTTTTTCTGAATTCAATGCAGCCATATCTACCCGAAGAGATACAGCATTTGGTCTCGATGGCATACCATATAAATTACTAAAAAACCTCTCTTATACATCTAAAAATATTGTTCTATGTATTTATAATGCACTGTGGAAAGAGTCAGTTATTCCTTCCGATTGGAAAAAAGATTGTATTATTCCAATTTTAAAACCAAACAAAAATGCAAATGAAATAGATTCCTATAGACCCATAACCCTGACCTCCTGCATGGGAAAAATATTTGAGCAATTATTAAAACAAAGATTAGAATTCTACATAGAGAGTAATTGTTTATTACCAGCAAACCAGTTTGGTTTTCGTAGAGGTAAATCTGCCTCTGAGAGTGTTGCTCATCTTCATATTGATATATTTAAAGCACTTAAATGCAATGAAGTTTTGATTGGGGTATTCTTTGATATTATCGGTGCATTCAATAATGTCAATCATCACATTCTTACTCTGGAACTTGTTTCTATTGGTATACCTGGAAAAATTATAAACTGGGTCTATAACTTTTTAAATGGTAGAGAAGTTTTTGTTAAAGTTAACAAGCAGTTAATAGGACCTCGTCTTTCTTATAAAGGTGTGTGTCAAGGTGGAATACTTAGTCCATTACTCTTTATCCTCTACATACACAAACTTAATTTAATTTTAGGGCCACATGTCAGGAATCTTCAATTTGCAGATGACCTTGTTATATACTTTTCAGGCCCAGACATTAATAAAGTTACAGAAATAATAAGTAACGCATTGTTAAGATTAACAGATTACTTTAAATACCTCAATTTAGATGTAAGCCCTGACAAATCTAAAGTAGTAATATTTTCTAAAACTAATAAATCCTACAAAAATATTAAAATATTATATAATAATTCACAACTACCTATTACTGCTGAAGTTAGATTTTTAGGTGTTATTTTTTGTAGCAATTTGTCTTGGAACAAATATGTTGATTATTTACTAGGTAAAGCTTCCAAAGCATTTAATATTATCAAAGCTCTATATAAATGTGATCCTAAGATCCTTTTAATGCTGTACAAATCCTTGATTCGCAGCCACTTTGAATATGGCTATCTATGTTTTGGTTCTGACCAAAACAAGCTTCATAAACTTGAAGTACTTCAGAATAATAATTTAAGATACATAACTGGTGCAATGAAAACAACCCCTATAAATTCCTTACAAGTAGAGTGCTGTATACCACCATTAAACCTGAGATTCTGGTACTTAAAACAAAGATTCATACTAAAATTATTATCCTTTTCTGAAGATCCACTCTTACAAAAGCTCAAACATATTACTTCTTTATTTCCCCTTTCTAATTCTAAAACAGTTCCCTATATACTTCATGATTTCTCTGACTCAATCAATATTGATCAGCAATACAAAATTCACAAAAGCAATAGATTTTGGAATTGTTACCATGGACCATTTGAAAGTAAATTTCCAAATATTAATATTGTAATTGACTCTGAGTTAAGGACCAAACAAGAAGTTTATAACAAGTTGTCTACATTTTCAACTCATCAATCCATATTTACAGACGGTTCTAAAAACGAATCGAGAACATCCTTTGCTCTATACTTACCAAGTATCAGAACCGGTCATGGAACTAGAATACATAAAGAATTTAGTATTTTTTCAGCAGAATCTTTGGCTATTTTAAATGCACTTTGTTATATAAAAGATGATAGGGGCAATTGCAAAAAATGGTTAATTGTCACAGACAGTATGAGTGTTTTAACTGCTCTTCAAAGTAACAAACTACATTATAAAACCAATTATATCATAGATAGCATTAAGCAAATATTATATGAGCTCTCATTGGAGTGTTATGATATTATTTTATTATGGACACCATCACATATTGGTGTTTTCGGTAATGAAAACGCAGATTTCCTGGCAAGAACTATCACCAACAATGACATTGGCGTTGTCAAGGATGTTGCCATACCTTATTCCGACATTCTTTCTATAGTTTACAAGAGTTTTCGTCAAAAATGGATTGAACAGTGGCAACTTTCGCTAAAGACCAAGGGTAATTGGTTTTACTCCATTAACAAAAATATTCATTCCTCACCCTGGTTCACTAAATCTAGAGTTTATAAAAACCGGAAATTTTACACACTCCTTATACGACTTCGTTTTGGTCACGCTAGATTCAATAGTCATTTGTGCCGAATGAAAATAATTGATTCAAATGCATGTCAAGAGTGCAATAACAGCAGTCAGACCCTAAATCACATATTTTTCGAATGTTCCGCTTATAATATTCAACGCTTGGTCTTTATTGATAATTTACTGAACATTTACAAGAAACCGGAAAAAATCCCGCGCGACATCCAAGACATGCTAACTAATTTTGAAACATATATACCTATATATTTATACGTTACCTCGATATCGATAAAACTATAAATAATTGATACAAGGATATGGACTACGGATAAGACTTAAATTTTGAACACGAATGAAAACATAATAAATAAACATACATAAGAATTGGCCTTTGGCCTCATCACTTGTTCAAATATGAAGAAGTTTAAGAGTAGAATAGGCTGTACGGTCTAAGGATCTTTGCCTTTTAGCTTTGTTCCATCACTGAAAAGGAGATGGACGAATATGGGAAAAAAAAAATGTGTCTATTTATTTGTACTTTTATATATTTAGTCACTGAAAAGGAGATGGACGAATATGGAAAAAAAAAAATTATATATTTAGTTAAATTAAGTTCATTAGGTAAATATTATTATTATTGATAATTATATTGATTAATAAAATTACTATTCTAGACGCTATGTGATGGCTTACACTCACACTTACTGTATACAGATTCAATAAGTGAGCATAAAAATAGACTATTATTTCAATTAAATTCATCTTTTTTTTCTTATTTTAGGAAAAAGTAGAAAGCCAAGAAATCCACTTCAATGGCTCATATTTTAGTTCTCGACTCTGATCAAGATGTCTTCATTTGTGGTTGTTGTAAGACTGTTTTCTACTCTTTGCAATTGTTTACAAATCACAAAGGTCAGCGATGTGTCAAAGATAATCAATCACAATTGATAGATCCTCCAAATAAAGCGTCACCTAAATGTGGTGCAACAATCGACACATCAAATGAAAATAAGGCGATAAAGGATATGACATGTAATAAATGTAGTAAAAAATTTAAGAAAATTAACACTTTACTAGCGCATATGAAGACACACAGTGAGAAACCATATCAATGTCAAATTTGTGGTCGATGTTTTATACAGAATTCTCATTTGCAAAGACACATTAAGTGCCATAGAGTGTGGCCAGAAGGACTTAGTGGTACTACTGCCAAATCTACAGAAGTAGATCTTTTGAGTTATTCATGTTCATATTGTGATATGGTACTGTCTAGTTATATACAGTTTAGAGCACATTTAAAGAATCATTTGTCATTAAAGAAATTTAAATGTATACAAGATGGATGTGTTAGTTTCTATGATAGTATTGAAAATTTACTTAATCATGTGACAATTGATCACAAAAGTCCAAAGTATTCATGCCATAATCCCACATGCAATAATGTGTTTAACTCTTTGGAACAAATTGCAATACATTATCAAAATCATAGTGAATGCAGAACTGAAGCATGTAGCACCATTCCCAAAAAATATAAATGTTTACAATGTGATGCTTCATTTAGGAGATTGGAGAAGTTGTCCTTACATATGCTCACAGAAAGTCACAAAAAGACATGTATTCACTGTGGAAATACATTTGCAAGTGACAAAAGATTAAGACTCCACTTGCAGGTACATAGAAAATTAAAACCATTTCAGTGTAATATATGCAATAGCAGTTTTCATATGAAAAAATATTTATCAGTTCATATGTTAAAACATGGTGACAGACAATATCCATGTAGTATTTGTAGCCATACATTTAAGAGATCAGATTTACTGCAACGGCATATGAAAATACATCAGTTAAGGAGAACATTTACTTGTCCATTTAGGGACACATTAAACTGCAAGAAAGAATTTAGCAGAAGTGACAAATTAAAAACACATATTAAACTTCATACAAAACATATGCCAATATGTTCTACTCAACATAAAGAGTTGAATGATAATGAAGCAGGCACTGTAGAGATATGTATATTACCTTTAGATCACAAGAATAGTATTAAGTAGCTTTAAAAGGGCTAGATTTTTTCTGTTTAAGTGTATAAAATATTTATATAATTGTTGTAACTACTTTATGTATTGAATTATTTTATATTAATTTAAAAGCTATTAATATTTTATAAACAAAATTATTTAAAAGGTTAAAACTAAATGTTTCATTTTATTCATATACTATATACCTAGTTAAAAATATTAATAAAAATAATAAAAATAAGTAAATAATAAGATATAGAATTATTATAATTTCTAGCAGTTATATTTTTACAATAAAAATTTGGAAAGTTAAAATTATTAATATTATAAGATAATGTAATGTATATATAGAATCTCTAAAATTATGTATTGGTGACAGATGGTATAAAAGATAATTATTAGGTATCTATATTAAACAAATAAAAATACTAAATTTTTTGTCTAATTGGAATTCAAGCTGACCCAGCTGCGGCTAGTGGTGGTAGTCTAGAAGGTTGGCAATCGACTAGTGGCCAAAATAAACGCTCATAGAATTTCTATTTTATTACAACTCCTATATACATAATCCAGCACTGTCATAATATAATACAACTCTGAAACGTTTTGAGTTTTCGTTCGGGAAGAAATTATTGGCTTGGACTAATAAAACTATAGTAACAGTAATATTGTTTTAAATGTCCAGCTAAAAATATTAAATTGTATTTCAATGTACGCGCCGATTGAAGGAGTAAGGGAATGGCGTCTTAATTATCTCGCAGGTTGACATACCCTAATTGGGACACAAATCTTTAGGATTGGAATTTTGCATTTCCTTGCAGTAAGTGTTCACTATTTTTCAGGGCCGGCAGACACGAGATTTCAGGAAAAACCGACATAAAATACTGCCTAGACTACGCAATTCAGTCTCCCCTTCGATCGATCCCCATACCAAATTTAAACGGGTATTGAAATTATCAGAGTTTCGAACCCAGAGCAAAAAAAGCAAGCAATTTAAATGATAGCAATGCAATTAATGATTTCTAGTCATATATGTAGAGTCGTATTGTTAATTTGCATATTGTATTGTAAATCATAATGTAGCTGTATACTTAAACAAAATAATGTGGATATGTTGGTTCCCTTAAAATAAAAAAAACATATAAATATAAACTTAACATATCGGAAAGCAACACTTATATGGTTTCACAGCCGGCATATTCAATTAACTTCCCATTCCATTACTTTAATCCTTAGCTAGTATTCATTTGGGTATCTCTTGAAATACGCCTATGGTAATATGGAGTTTCAAAAAGTATTATTAATCGTTTGTTTTCTTAAGTGTTTCTACTTAGTGAGAGTAAGTGGAATTATATTTATTTTATTATTATGAACTAGTGATTCGTCATTGCTTTACACGAACATAGATAAGATAATGTGCTAATAAGATATTTTGTTACGGTAAATAGTACCTATACCGCTTTACTTTACTTTGGATGATCAAGGGTTCGATTCTCGCAAATACTTAGTTTGTATTCATGAGTTCCATTGTATTGGCGTTCACAATTTATTAACAATAACAATATCATTTCGGTAACTGGAAGGAACTATAAAATATCTACGCACTTTTTAAACAGAGTACGCCCTAGGTAATATATCTGGATTTGTTGTTATCTTCAAACTCGTACAAAAATATATTGTTACTTATTTTTTTCCGTTATAGGCACGGCAGTTTAGAGTTACAGATCAAGTATATCTAGATATACGTGATGAGAATAAGGACTTGGGTCGAGTTGTAATTGGCTTATTTGGAGATTTAGCACCGAAGGCTGTCAAGAATTTTAAGGTACTGGCTACAAATGGCATAAATGGAATGTCGTACAAAGGCACAAGTTTCAATCGCATCATAAAGAGATTTATGATACAAGGTTGGTGAATTATTTAAAAAGTTTACGTACAATACGATTTACCACACAATCAAATATTGTATCATGAGACCAGAAGAAATTGGCTCCAACGAGGATCATACCCGGAACCGTTTAAGAAAAATTACGCGCCCGGACAACGCGGAGGTGTTTATCTACGCCTAATAAATATTATATATATAGTTTATAATACAATATATATAGTATAGTATAATACAATATAGGTTTTAAAACTAGTAAAATAATAATGAAAAAATAACAAACAAAGCAAAGCCTGTTATATTTTACTATTTACATCTATATGTATGTGCATAGGTCGAATTTATTTATTATATATTTTGTGCTTATTTTTCAGGAGGTGATGTAGTGTCTGACGATGGAACGGGTTCGGTAAGCATTTACGGAGAGTCATTTGAAGACGAAAATCTGGATACACAACACAGTTCAGCTGGATTTGTATCAATGGCCAATAAAGGTAAACATATTAGTATGTTGAAAGTGTTCCAGTAGGTACCTAAGTAACAAAACAATAAATAATATAAGTACAGCATGACGTAATCTCCCCAGATGGATAACTCCAACCATATTTTTTACAGGAAGAAATACAAACGGCTGTCAATTTATAATAACTACAATTGGAACGCCGTGGTTGGATAACTTACATACTATTGTTGGAAAGGTATTTATTTCTGAATTATCTAATAACTGGTGTGTAAGTTTACTTATCTTGAGAAAATGATTATATCCCTTCCTACCTTTTGGTTGATTTTATGATACTAATTAATTTCATCATTAATATGTATTCAGTCCAAATATAACTGTATAGAGTAGGTACCTACCTTGTCATCTTAAAGTCGGTTATACAGAAACTTCTCTATTTTGACGTTTATTGAAAACTAATAATAAGAAATTGTGTGACTATTTGAAGATAGTGGAGGGTCAAAACGTGGTGCACGTGGTGGAACATACACCGACGGATGCACAAGATCGGCCCACGCGGCGTGTATATATCGCCGACTGCGGACTCCTACCCACTCCACAGCCGTGTTACGTTTCTGATTATCCATACGAGTAGGTATCTAGATATTTCGTATTCTTTATTATAACACTACAGCTTACGTACGGTCCACATGATGGAAATCATTTCATCACTCCTTAGACCGCCTACAACCTATCTAGTGGGATTATGATACGATAGATTGTTTATATAGACGTAACTGCATTTATGCTTTTTTTATCTAGGTATAATATAAATATGCAATGATAATAAAAATGTATTTAAGTATGTCCACCATTCATTCATATCTTATTTGTGATGATCCTGTGAGTTGTCTAATTATGTACATAAATGTACTATCATAGTGAAACATTATTAATTTTATTTACAGCATTTGGGCGTGGATCAAGGCGTCTACGGTACCACTGACCATGTCTTTTTCGATATTAGGTTTCTTTCATTGGATGATGCGGAAGATGGAGATATAAAAACTTATCAATTTATGTAAATTAATTTATATGATTGTAATTTGTGAATTAGATTTCAACACCGCTGAATATTAAAAGTTTTACTTATAATATTGGCTGCTTTTTCTTTTTCTCGACCAAAGTATTTTTTTCATAAAAAAGAGATGATGAAATAAATTAACACAATTTCATACGAGATATGTCGTTTCATTTTTATTTAAAATTATATTTTTTAGGCGGGGTGCCTTGTAACTATTATAGTGGCTAGGCAAATATGCACATGGTTTTGTATCGGATATTTGCAGAGTAAGATAGGAATTAGTGTGTTTTAATGACTTGAAGTGAAAAGGAAAAAAAGTTCATATTTAAGAAAAAGCGTCCATTGTACAGTTGTTATTATTTATTTATATTAGACATTAATTATTATAAAGTATTTAATATTTACAAATAAAACTAGGTACTTTTATTTATACATTGCTTTTGAACAAAACTTAGTAAGTAGGTAAGAAGGTACCTATATTAATTAACATATAGGTACATTTGTCACAAAGAAATTGTTACATAATAATATGTAACACATACACTTAGCGAAAACATATTAAGAGATCATTCAAAATCCACATACAAAAGAACTTACAGATACTTGTATGTTTAGAATTTTAAGGTTTGTTAATATTTTGATTATTTTAGTTATAGACAGGTAAGTACCTACATTTAACACTGAACAGTAATATAATTATAACCACGTACGATAATATGTAGGTAGCTTAGTTATTCTGGAAGTCTCAATGGTTTAACAAACACAATTAACAAAAGTAGATATATTATGTAACGTATATTATATAGATTTCACTGTTCATTTTTAGTTTAAGTCATTCGGTAGTCTATATAAAAAGTGAAACTTTTGTTTTACAAGCAATATTCATTTATCGTACCGAGCTTATCTGGAAAAACCTGTGCGTCAAATTAAATAAAACGTTTTGTTTCTGATTATTAATTTATTACTATTTGCATCGTTTTCTCTTGTTATTAATTTTTAATTAATACGAAGAGAATGTTTACTTATTTTGTAGCTATCGTGCGTCACAATTATTACATATTGTTAAGCACTTTGAGGTGTTCTGTATTAATACCTATCAGATAATTATAATAATTAAATATATATGCATCTGGATTACATAACTCAAACTTACACTTCAACTCTCACTCTGATACCTATGTTTTGTTTATCTTACACATGATTTATCACACTTTGCCTTGTTTTCAATTTCTGGATATCTGAGATTAAGATCTCATAAACTATTATAGAATATGATCTAAGGATCATGTTCTATAATAATTTATGTTTCTATTACGGAGTGACCGCAATAGAAGTTCACAACGTCAGTCATCACACACTTATCCCACCAATAGTCATAACATACTGACAGTAAACTTGTCCATGGGATGCCTTACTGCGAATTCGCTGTCGGCTATCGCATTGCAAGATTGATAAAGTGTGTAAAACTGAGAAGTAGCAGTAGGAGGACGTGTGCAGGCGCGACGGGGGCGGCGGCGTCAGGGGCCCCGGGGGTCCCGGCGGGCGCGGGCGCGGGCCGGGCGCCGCGCTGCGAGGCGGCCGCGCCACACGCACGCGCGCACGACGACCACTCGCGGCACACCTCGCACGCGGTGCTCGCCACCGGCTGGAAGAACTGCCGCGCACGGTGACCTGACACCGTCACAATGCTCGCTTTATTACATATAGGTACACATACATTATATGCTACACGAGCTTCTTAAAATGAGAAATATATAAAAATGAATAAATGTTGCTTCTTAATTTGTTTTTATAGATAACTTTAAATGGACTAATTCATTTTAGTAATCATTAGAGGAGACGACAGCCGCACTCAGGCTATTAGAGAATTATATTTTGGCACTGAAATATTCTCCTAATACGTGAAGATTAAGGTGGCAATGACAGTATACATGAGGATGTATGACGCCATTTCTGAGGATGCAACACACCAAGTTTTTCATTGCTAAGGAACCAAGCAGCTCGTTTTATTAGATATAATTACGTAACGCATTCAATGTTAAGGCGACAGTTACCACTTACCATTAGGTGGTCCATTAGTTCGTTTGCCGTTCTATTTAATCATCATTAGTATATATAGTATAAAACATTTTGCGCTATCGCTGTTTGTCCCTATGTATGCTTAACTTTTTAAAACTACACAGTTATAGCTAGTACAGGGTAGCCAGTTAGGTAATAAATTGATATAGTAGGAGTACTGACTGGAGTCGTAGAGGTCGATGAGCGTGGCCCAGCCGGGCCGCTGCCAGGCCGACGGCGAGAGCACGTGGCGCGGCCAGCGTGGCGCAACGCTCGGAGCGAGCGGCGCGCAGCCACGCCACCACGCGCTCGCCGCCCGCCTGCAGCCGCGCGCCCACCACGTGCCGCCCGCTCTGTGCACACACACACCACACACCATTACGTATCAAGATAGTTCGTGTAGCGCGCAGCGACGAGACCACGCGCTCGCCGCCCGCCTGCAGCCGCGCGCCCACCACGTGCCGCCCGCTCTGCGCACACACACACACACCACACACGATTACGTATCAATATAGAACGCGCAGCGCGCAGCCACACCACCACGCGCTCGCCGCCCGCCCGCAGCCGCGCGCCCACCACGTGCCGCCCGCTCTGCGCACGTGCACACACACCACACACCACACACCATTACGTATCAATATAGAACGCGCAGCGCGCAGCCACACCACCACGCGCTCGCCGCCCGCCCGCAGCCGCGCGCCCACCACGTGCCGCCCGCTCTGCGCACGTGCACACACACCACACACCACACACCATTACGTATCAACATAGAATGCGCGGCGGCAGGGCCAGGCGCCACCACGTGAATAGAAAGTGAAAAGGCTTAAAACATACGCTCTATCCTATCACGAATTAAAGAGTGATCAACGTGTCCTGTAAAGGTAGCTAAAGAGAACAATAAAGCGCGCACGGGCCGTCCACCTTACAATTGTGCCAAAAATTACGACGAACTATACGTCTAAGTCTTATTAATTAGCATCACATAAAATAATATAAAAGTAACAATGTGTCACTTGTTCTATTGTAGTTATTTTTGCACTTACCGTTAATTCCGTAAGTGTATTTATATCGGCCAAATATCCAGATGGCAACTGAACGGTAAGGAGAGTAAGCCCACTCTCTGTGTCATTGCCTTGAGCTACAAACCTAAAATGCAAAATGCATGTATTAGTTTCGTTTATATTATGACATGCATAAGAGAACTAAGGATATAGGATAAGAATAATAATGTTTAAGATTTTTATATGAATACAAATAACAAAATATAGGAAGATTAAATGCAAAACAGTTAGTCCTGTTTATTTGTTATCTTTTTACGACTGAATGGCTAATCGAATCTTACTGAAAATTGACATGAATTTAGATGGTATTATAAAGTCGAGCATGGTTACCTTTTATCTCAAAATAAGCTGTAATATGGGGTGTATACTTTTTGCAGAATCACGCGTAATAGCTAACATCATAAACCATCAACAACTACAGGTACCCTACAGTTGGCATTATATAGCCACTTACAGATCATCTCAACATTGTAAAAGAATTACCTGCCGAGAAATGTTACACGTATAAGAAAATTTAGATAAACAGCTACTGAATATAATAAAATAAATTTCAAACCATTACAAACTTCACGCTCGCATGTTCCAGAAGTGGTTTATGAAATGATTGTCACAAATATAAACTACAGAGTACATAGAAGTTGGTACCCGACACAGATGGAGAGCTGGAGCCGGTAGCTGGTGGAGACCTGATCGACCCGCGGGTCGAGGGTATACCGGGGCCACGCGGCTGTCACGTTCGTGTAGCCCTTAACTGATAGACCCAGCACAGCGATGCCGCTGCCTTCTGATACGGCGCTCACATTATGAACGTTGCGAATCTGTAAGAGTAGTCGTAATAAGATCAAGTGTTCGTAATGGGGCCATTGCTAAATTTCACGCGATTTCATCTGGAAACCATCGTGGTTAATGAATGCTACTCGATTTTATCTTCCACTGTTGCTCCGTCAGTTTTATAGATATCACCATTTTTTCAAAAGTCATACAGTATTACGATGAAAAATAATATGTTACTATAAATATTATTTATATTTATACTCTCATTATTTTTCATCGTGAGTAATATTGGAAGTCTGGTCGTGGCAGAGTTTTTATTCTTTCGTTATTATAAATTTTACACGTCTGGTATTTTCTAGAAGTGTTTATTGGAATACGTTATTCCTTACATATTTTGGTATTTAATGCTAATTTCTGTATAATTATGATTTTCCTATTTATTTTTATACTTCACCACAGTTTAATCCTACATCAATTGATTTTTGGTTACCAATATTTAATGACGTCTTAAGATATCGTCCCAAACATTATCTTCATTGCATCTTCATGACAGAGTCGTGCTATACATACATATATAATATTTGGAACATAGATTCATTTTATTTATAAGATACATCAAGAATAACAAATATACTCAGTTTTATTGTTTTTTGTATGTTGTGTAAATAATAAACGTGG